GGGCCCGGGGGCCCGGGTGCGCGCGCCTGGACACGCCTTCCTCCCCCGTCCCCGTCGGTGCAAGGTCTTCCCGACCCCCCTTCCACGCCCCAGAGGATGCGCTCCCCCGCGCCGAGCAGCGCAGGCCACCGCTCCCAGAAATACGGGCTTCCGATCCTCTTCTCTGCACCCCGAGGAGCCGGCGCCCCCGCCCAGTAGGTAGGTGGCTGAGGCGGGGACCTGCCCCGGCCGACCAGGGCAGCCAGTGCTACCGCGAATGGGGGGCCCGGGGGCCACGACCGGCCAAACTCGCCCCCTGCGGCGGTTTCTGGGAGCGCTCGGGGCTACGCGAATGGCGCTGGGCGCGCCCCGAGAGCCCTCGGTGCCTGAAAGCCTCTTTGGAAGCCAGGAGACCAAGTGATGGTGCAGGAGCTGGACCCTTTCCTCCCAGCCCCGGGGGCCGCTGGGGTCTGTACGAGCTGCCGACTGGAGGTGGGGGCTGGAATAGGACCGGATGACATGTGGCTTATTTACTTGGGGTGGGTGGGGGTGCGTGGGATTTTCAGCAGCTCAGGTGGAGGAGATATGTCACTGAATTTTTTAGCTGGATTTCCAGATGCGTTCTTCCTGACTTTCTAGCCAAAGCGTGTCGATATTCAGAAGGCTCTTGGAGCGGCATGTAGAAGTCCTGTGGATTTCTATGGGATTTCAAAGCTGGCTGTATGGTTTTTGGGAAATCGATGGTTCAGTCCCCAGCAATCAACATTCTAGGGTTTGTTGGACAAGGTCCGTCTAGAAGTCTTATAATTCGGGGGATGGTTGAGGCTGGGTTACTCTTGTGGTGTGCCCACTTCTGAGCCTTCTGTTTAGTGAAGGGAGGCGTTTAGTGGCTGCAAGTTTGATACAGGTGTCGAGTTGACATCCTGCAGGAAGGGTGCCCGGGGCTAGCCAGTAGTCGGCAGTCTTGTGCTCACTCTAACTTCCAACTTCGTGCTAAGGCTTATATTTTTGAGAGACTGGTTAGGCATTCTACCCCCTGCCCCCCTCCAATTATACAGTTCATACATCAAAGCTTTGGGCACGAGGATTTCTTCCCAGACAACCTTTTTTTAAAGTCTTACATTAAACCACAGGCGTTGGAGTTTTGGAAAAGAGGTCATTGTAAACGTCAAGTTTGTGTGAATGCATTCAGATTTCGAGTTTGGGAAAAATGAATTGGTGTAAGCCCCAAGAAGTTAGAGATTCCCTTTTGTTCAATTCTGTAATCTGAGTTTGATGAACAGTAGGTGCGCATTAGGGGTTTGTTGTATGAGTGAATTAGTGCTGTTTGGAGCTTTGCTGTTCTCTGGCCATTGACATTTCACTAGATTTGAAAAATAGCCTTTTTTTCCATACAAAGAGGCCAATTTAATTGTCTTAACATTTAAAGGTAAAATTTGACATTTTAAAGGAATATATATTTTCTCCTATGTGTATTATTAAATGAGGTACTATGAATCCTTTCCAACTCTTAATATGTTAATTTCATAATCTAAGCTTGCAAAATGTCCAGTCTTATTGGTAATCAAACTTACTTCAGTTACACTCTCAAACATAGTTTAAAAATGCAATCCACATTTTAAAGAAAATTCCAGGTTACTCCATAGGAACAATGATATGGTTAATAAATGACATTTTATAGTTGATTGTGGTCTGATCTAATTATGATGTATCTTATTGCAAGTAAAGAATAAATCATTTAAAAGTGCTGTGGTGTATGCATTGTGCTGAGAACCACAAGATCAGCAGTTCAAAACTACCCGCTGCTTGGTGAGAGAAAGATGAGGCTTTCTATTTCTGTAGAAGGATAGCCACGGAAACTCAGAGTCATTTCTACTCTATCTTTGGAGGTCACTAAGTCAGAAGCAGCTTGAGGTCTGTGAGTTTACTATTTGGTTTGCTGAGTTTGAGATGATTCAAAATATAGACCTCAATTTTAGTTGTATTGGTTTCTCATAGGATATAAGCATATCAGTTTCCAAGTTTGATAACCAGAGTGGTTGATGTTTGGAAAATAATGCCTTTCAAGTTTAAAAAAATGGTATCTTGGGAAAAAAAATGATAGATAAGTGCATCATATTCAATTTGGCTTTATTTGTACATTATGATATTTCCATTTTTGATTATATAAATACATTTTATGACTCTGTATTTCCTGGTAATCTCTGTTCTTTGCAAAATTATCTGCCTAGTGGTCTAATGATCTTGTTTTCTTTTTGGTCATTTTTAATCTTTTCATCCTTACTGCATATTACATATCAAACCAAGCCTACGGGACGGAATAGAACTGCCCTTAAGTTTTCCAAGGCTGTACATCTTTACTGAAGAAGATAGCTACATTTCTCTTGCAAAGCAATTGGTGGGTTTGAACTACCAACTTTTAGGATAGCAGCAGAATGCTTAACCAGTTCTTAACCAGTTGCCTATAAGAGTAGTTTTCACAAAACTATGGTAGGGCATAGTTTATTACTATTGCCTTTCCAAGTATGTTGGATTTTCCAAGATGTAAATGCTAATAAAGATGGGAAGAACCAACAATGTGTGTGTGTTGGGGTGAGGTGGAGGGCTTTAAAATATGTAATTTAGAGAAATTAAAAATTCCCTATGAAATAAAGATAATTACATCTTATTATTAGTGAGTTTTTTACTCATAGCAACCTCTTATGACAAAGTAGAACTGCTTCATAGGATTTTCTTGGCTGTAATCTTTATGAAAGATTGCCAAAACTAAACCAAACTCACTGCCACTGTGGTTTTGAACTGCTAATTTGTCAGATCATAGCCTAATACACAACCACTCTACCACTACGGCTCCCTGACTCCACAGGGTTTTCTTGGCTATATCTTTATGAAGTAGATTGCCAGGCCTTTTTGTTTCTGTAGCCATGAAAGTCTTAACTGCCAACCTATGGGTTAGCAGCCGAGCCTTTGTGCCACGAAGGTTTACACCTCTTAAATTTATAATCGGTGTATTAAGCAATGAATTTGCATTGCTCTGCCTTGCTTGCATTTAACCAGGCGTCCTCAAACTACGGCCTGTGGGCCACATGCGGCACGCTGAGGACATTTATCCCCCGGCTGGGTGTTTTTGCCCCGTTTGTTTTTTCACTTCAAAATAAGATATGTGCAGTGTGCATAGAACTTTGTTCATAGTTTTTTTTTTAAACTATAGTCCGGCTCTCCAGCAGGTCTGAGGGACAATGAATTGGTCCCCTGCTTAAAAAGTTTGAGGACTCCTGCTTAACTTTTCAAGAGAGCCCTCCCGGTGTTTTCGGTAAATTCTTTGACTTTGTTATAGTTAATGTGACTAATGGGTTCATTTGACAAATAAGAGTATACAGCTGACAAGTTGCTGGCACTCTTGGCCTTGGAGTCACAAACAGGAGCTGGTTCCTGATTTCAAAATACCCACTCACTGCCCTCACTTTGATTCCAACTGATGTGAGGCTGCGTGGAGGGTGCATTTGCAAAATGGGCCTCCTGTGTCTGCAAATGAATGCTGTTTCATTGCTGGTTTCACTTCTCCCTGGCCCCATGAGAACCACTGGAATGCAATTCGAAGACCAGGAATTACTCTATCTTATCTTTCCATGTCTTTCCCAAGGTTTTTATTGGAGGATCGCTAAATGGTGTTTGATGACCCTTTCCTATCTAACCCGTATTTTTCCCCTTTTGTCCTTGTGTTTACATCCAACAGTATAAACTCCATTTCCGTAAACTAGAACCAGAATGGTGAATGCATATGTAGTACTTGAATTGCCAGAAGGCTAGGCTTTCTACTCTCTCGGTCTTGGAAAACCACAGGGGCATCTCCACTCCGTCCTGTAGGGTTGCTGTCTCTGTGTCGGAATCAACTGGATGGTGGTGAGTTTGGTTTGGTTTGGGTTTAATTTCAGGTATAGGCACCTGATGGTTGAAAATTGTATGTATATTAATCTCCCCTCAGAATCCTCTTGTCTTTTTCACTTTGCCAGAAAATATGAAATGGTCTGTTCAAAGCGGATATGAGAAGATCAGTTGAAACACTTCCAGACTTGGTTAAACAAAGATCCTGAGGTCCATCCATTCTCTTCCAATAGTTGGTGCCAGACAAGGAGCCTACCCAGGTCTTCAGGAACTCTTTACTTCTAGCTGGTTCCCTTATTTTGCATCTTTGGCACTTCTCCCGCCCCTCCCACCCAGCCCCATGGGATTGATACTGAGGGCTTCTACTAATAAAGACAAACACTAAAAATGTGTTACAGTACTTTAGAGAGGTGGTTAAGAACATCTTCGTGTTTTCCACTCCTAGTTGAAGGCCCTTGCAAGAAATTACACTCAGCTTTAAATAGAAAAAAAAGCTGCATATTGGTTATATTTCCATTTCTGCTCTTGCAACTAGGAAATGGAGTCAAATTTGCAACTCATTTTTAATCACCGTATCAAAAGTTGTGGCTTACATCTAACGTGCTAACTTTCTCACTGGTTGTGAACTTCTGTTCTACCTATGTTTTCTTAATTCCGATTTTGATGTAATTGTATTTGCCCATTTTATAGAATTATTGTTCTAAGGTGGCTCATTGCCTTTGTGGATTGAGGCAAAATATCAAACAAACACGCACACAACTAATAGCGAATACTGAATTGATTTCTGAGTACATACCAAATTTCTTACTGTTAAGAAGGTTAATTGGTATGCTTTAAACAAATATTGGAAATTTAGGATATTTAAGTTCATGTAGTCAAGTAGAAATCAATGGTACACACTTTTGTAAAATTAAATTCCACTTACCTTTTAACTAAAAGTTTTTGTTTATGTATACTTGGTAAAGCTATTCAGGTTAATAATAAATTAACAATTATTTCCTAGAGTACTGTCTTACATAGAATATTAGACCAGACAGGAAATTATATATAAAATGTGACCCCCCCCCCCCAAGGTCATCTTTATCCCAAACAAACAGCAGCAGGCAGCCTCAGCTTTCTCTTGGAGTGCTGGTGAATTTGAACAGCCAACCTTTTGGTTAGAAGTCCTCTGCTTATATGACAACACCATCCTGGACTGCAGATGAACTTATGTCAATGATTTCTCTGATTCATATTTGTTCTAATAATCAGATATAGCTTCTTCTCTGGGCCTCTTATATTTACTATCAAATATAAAAGCTTGAATTTCCTCAGTTAATTGGCCAGCCACCCAT